CTCCACTTCAAAACCTGCATGTAATGGGGGACTCTGGTGTAAGGGGGACACCGAGGGAGACCCTGATCTAAGGGGGGGAGCTCTGATAGGGACTCATAATAAGGGGGACTCTCATGGAGACCCCCGATTGAGGAAGGATTCTGATAGGGACTTGTACTTTTAATTACTTTGTAAGTGTAATACTTACCTTTTTACACATTAAATACTTTAAAGGATAATGCACTAGGCCAGTGTGCCCTCTGTTTATTGTTATTCTAAGGGGGACTCAAAGGGGGGGGGGTTCTGATAGGGACTCTAATGTAAGGGGGACCCTGATAGGGACCTTGATAAGGACTGTGATGTAAGGGGGCTCTGCTAGGGACTGTGATGTAGGAGAGACTCTGCTGTAAGGGGGACTCAGATGGGCACATTGATGTAAGGGGGTTCTGATAGGGACTCTAATGTAGGGGGGATTCTAATAGGGACCTTGATGTAAGGGGGGGCTCTAATTTAAGGGGTATTCTGATGGGGACCTGGATGTAAGGTGGACTCTGATGTAAGAGAGACTCTGATGGAGACCTTGATGTAATGGGGGCTCTGATAGGGACTGTGATGGGTACTGTTGAGAGAAATTTGTTAAAGATAGTTATTAAGAGGTTGTTGAATAAATTACCGTATCACCCAGTAAATGGTCTCCATTCAGTAGCCAAAAAAGGCATACAAAAAGAGGGGGGTTGTGAAAAGAGATTCACAAAGAAAGCGGCTACATTATGAACAGAATGTGATACTCAGAAAAATTTCCAAAAATTATGCTTTATTACACATACAAATTTGACATATGGGCAATCGCCCTGGTTTACCATCACCTCAGTATGAGACAATACACACAGACCTAAAACCATATAAAATGACACCAAGACCGGTCTGAATGCATGTGCAACAAGGACAATGACTACAAGAGTCTAAAGTCCCTGTAGCACTGGTGCATAGGTGAACACTTCCCAAAGGAGGTGTATGCAAAAATTATACCATAGGTATACCATGAAACGTGTTATAAATGAGTATCACATTCTGTTCATAATGTAGCCGCTTTCTTTGTGAATCTCTTTTCACAACCCCTCTCTTTTTGTATACTGTTGAGAGAAACCCTGATGTAATAGGGGCTTTGATAGGCACTTTGATGTAAGGGGGGGGGGGGGCTTTGCTAGGGATTCTGATGTAGGAGAGACTTTCTGTGAGGGGGACTCAAAGGGACACACTGATGTACTGTTCTGATAGGGACTCTAATGTAAGGGGGGTTGTGATAGGGACCTTGATGTAAGGGGGTGACTCTAGTTTAAAGGGGATTCTGATGGGGACCTGGATGTAAGGTGAGCTCTGATAGGGACTGTGGTGTAACTGGATCTGAGAGAAACCCTGATGTAATAGGTGCTCTGATAGTCATTTTGATGTAAGGGGAGACTCTGATGGGGTCCATGATGTAAGGAGTACTCTGATGGCGATCTTGATACAATGGGGGCTTTGATAGGGACTCTGATGTAAGAGAGACTCTGATGGTATCTCTGATGTAAGGGGGAATCTAATGTAAGAGAGACTCTGAAGGGGACCCTGATGTAAGAGGGATAGGAGCTTTGATTTAAGGGGGGAATCTGATGTAAGGGGACTCTGATGTAAGGAGGAATCTGATAGGGACCCTGATGTAAGGAGGAATCTGCTGATAGAGACCCTGATGTAAGGAAGACTCTGAGTGGGACTCTGATGTAAAGGGAAAACCTGAATGGGACTCTCATGCAGACCCCAATGTAAGAGGGACTTTGATGTAAGGTATACTCGGAGGGAGACCCTAATGTAAGGGGTGCTCTGATAAGGACTCTTATGAAAGAAAGACTCTGATGGGAACTCTGATGTAAGGGGGAATCTGATGTAAGAGAGACTCTGATGAGGACCCTGATGTAAGGGGGATAGGAGCTCTGACTTAATGGGGATGTAAGGAGGAATCTGATAGGGACCCTGATGTAAGGAGGACTCTGATTGGGACTCTGATGTAAAGGGAGAACCTGAAGAGGACTTCATTAGACCCCAATGTAAGAGGGACTTTGATGTAAGGTATACTTGGAGGGAGACCCTAACGTAAGGGGGGCTCTGATAGGGACTCTGATGTAAGGGGGACTTTAATGGGGGCCCTGATGTAAGGAGGGGCTCTAATTTAAGGAGTCTGATTAGGACCCTGAAGTAAGCAGGACTCTGATGCAAGAGGCAGCACAGTGGCTAAATGGTTAGCACTTCCCCCCAGCAGTACTAGGGTCATTGGTTTAAATCCCAGCCATGGTACCACCTGCCTGGAGTTTGCATGTGCTCCCTGTGCCTGTGTGGGTTTCCTCCAGGTACTCCTGTTTCCTCCCACACTCCAAAGACATGCTGGTAGGTTAATTGGCTCCTGTCTAAATTGGCCCTAGTATGTGTATGTATGAATGTGAGTTACGGACCTTAGATTGTACGCTCCTTGAGGGTTAGGAACTGATGTGAATGTACAATATATATGTAAAGTGCTGTGTAAATTGACGACAGCGCTATATAAGTACCTGAAATAAATAAATAAGGGGTACTCTGATGGATAACTTGAGTAATGGGGGGGGGGGGGGGGGTTTGATAGGGACTCACGTAAGAGAGAATCTTAGGGGGACCCTGATGTAAGAGGGGCTCTGATAGGTGCTGCAATTTAAGGGTGACTCTGATGGGATTTTTTTTTTGTCCCCTAATATTTGTAAAGGTTACACTGTGGCCCTCATACTGGAAAGTGTGGAGACCCCTGATGTAGAGAAAACATTGCTTTCCAAAGTAGAAGGGTAAGTTGTTGTTTGAATTATGATGGTGTCAATGTAGAAAGGTTCCAGCAATGTACGTGAAATGGAAAGATTACATTTTGGCTGGAGTTATACTTTAAGTCCTGAAAAGCTCCTTAAGTTCTTTTTATTCCTAACACTATTAAAATCTATTTAACATAAACAAATGTATAATGTATTTTTAGAAAATGTGTAACTGCAAGGACAATTTATTATTATTATACAGGATTTATATTGCGCCAACAGTTTGCTCAGCACTTTACAATATAACGGGAGACAATACAGTAACAATACAGTTCAATACAAGAGGGATAGGAGGGCCCTGCTCCTTGGAGCTTACAATCTAGGAGGGAGGGGCTAGTGGTACAAAAGGTAATAACTGTGGGGGATGGACTGGTTGGAAGAGTAGAAGATTCCAGTATTAGCTGAGGGCAGGGATAGGCTTCCCTGAAAGAGACAGGTTTTCAGAGATCGCCTAAAAGTGAGCAGAGTAGGTGATAGTCTGATAAATTGGGGTAGAGAGTTCCAGAGGATGGGGGAAGCTCTGGAGAAGTCCTGGAGACAAGCATGGGTGGAGGAGACCAGGGAGCTAGAGAGTAGGAGGTCTTGCGAGGAGCAGAGAGTACGGTTTGGGTGATATTTAGAGACAAGATCGTTGATGTAATTTGGGGCAAAGTTATAAATGGCTTTATATGTTATTGTTAATGTTTTGAATTTTATCCATTGGGCAATGGGAAGCCAGTGGAGGGATTGGCAGAGAGGGGTGGAGGACACTGAGTGGGAGCCAGTGGAGGGATTGGCAGAGAGGGGTGGAGGACACTGAGTGAGAGCCAGTGGAGGGATTGGCAGAGAGGGGTGGAGGACACTGAGTGGAGGTCAGTGGAGGGATTGGCAGAGAGGGATGGAGGACACTGAGTGGGAGCCAGGGGTGTGGAGGGATTAGCAGAGAGGGGTGGAGGACACTGAGTGGGAGCCAGTGAAGGGATTGGCAGAGAGGGGTGGAGGACACTGAGTGGGAGCCAGTGGAGGGATTAGCAGAGAGGGGTGGAGGACACTGAGTGGAAGCCAGAGGAGGGATTGGCAGAGAGAGGGGTGGAGGACACTGAGTGGGAGGCCAGTGGAGAGATTGGCAGAGAGGGGTGGAGGACACTGAGTGGGAGCCAGTGGAGGGATTAGCAGAGAGGGGTGGAGGACACTGAGTGGGAGCCAGTGGAGAGATTGGCAGAGAGGGGTGGAGGACACTGAGTGGGAGCCAGTGGAGGGATTGGCAGAGAGGGGTGGAGGACACTGAGTGGGAGCCAGTGGAGGGATTGGCAGAGAGGGGTGGAGGACACTGAGTGGAGACCAGTGGAGGGGAGGGATTGGCAGAGAGGGGTGGAGGACACTGAGTGGGAGGCCAGTGGAGGGATTGGCAGAGAGGGGTGGAGAACACTGAGTGGAGACCAGTGGAGGGATTGGCAGAGAGGGGGGAGGACACTGAGTGGAAGCCAGTGGAGGGATTGGCAGAGAGGGGTGGAGGACACTGAGTGGGAGCCAGAGGAGGGATTGGCAGAGAGGGGTGGAGGACACTGAGTGGAGACCAGTGGAGGGATTTTGGCAGAGAGGGGTGGAGGACACTGAGTGGGAGCCAGTGGAGGGATTGGCAGAGAGGGGTGGGAGATACAAAACGGTTAGTAAGGTGGATGAGTCTGGCAGCAGTATTCATGATGGACTGAAGAGGGGATAGCCTGCGATTAGCCATTGGTCTTTGTAATCAAGTATCACATTGTTTTAGGTCATTCTACTGTGTGTGTCAGTTTTACTTGAAGTGTTTCTTTGCAATAAAGTTGTTTCTATTCTGAAGGCAGTAGCTACAAGATCCCTTCCGGAGCTGCTGTCACTTCCTCACTGTCACAACCGGTTATTGAGGAATCCTCCAACACAGCACAGAACTACAGAGCAATCAGGAAACTCCTTTCTTGCGTCTTGGGTTGCTAGGCAATCTGGGTTTGGCCAGTGAAGGGATCTTGCGTATATATATAGCAATGGAGCTAAGAAGGAGTATGCAAAGCTACAGACTTCAGAGCAAGCAGATTTCTGAACAGAAAAGGAAGATCTACATCTGCAAGTATGGGTGCCCTCCTCAGCAGCCTTTACCAGACTCTTCAGGGCTTCTCTGGCACCAAGGCTCGGATCCTGATGCTGGGTCTGGATGCTGCTGGAAAGACCACGGTTCTTTATAAGCTGAAGCTGAATGAGACGGTCTGTACAATCCCCACCATCGGATTCAATGTTGAGACTGTGGAGCCCATCCGTAATGTGACATTTACTGTCTGGGATGTGGGTGGTCAGGACAAGATTCGAGTCCTGTGGAAACACTACTATGTCAACACCGATGGGTTGGTTTTTGTGGTGGACAGTGCTGACCCAGAGAGGTTCCTGGAAGCCAGGGAAGAACTCAAAGCTATCCTGGAGCATGATGAAATGAGAGGCGTGCCGTTCTTGGTGATGGCCAACAAGCAAGATCTCCCAGGTGCCAGGAAACCCATGGAGCTGGCGGAGGAACTGGGACTGACGAAGATGAAAGGACACCAATGGCACGTCCAAGGGTGCTGTGCGGCCAACGGGGAAGGACTGGTGGAGGGGCTGGAGGTCCTCACCAACTTAGTGAAGCAGTTTCAGAAGAACAGGACATACTGAGAGGACTAAATTCATGTCTATCCATATTATCTATTCTTTTTTCCAACTATGGCGCAAGAAAAGTTTACAGCACAAATACTGTATACTATCAGCTTGTTCTTCACAAGCCAAAGAGCGGGGGAACTGTGCAAGGTGGTCGTCTCCACCATGAAGGACCATCAAGGGAAAGGTGACTGCATTAAAGATGTCAAGTAAAAAATGTTTAAAGGACTGTGTTTAAAGGACTGGTTGCAAAAGTTAAAAAAGAATGTAGTTATGAAAATTTAGAAATGATTGATTTCATTGATGAATTTATTAGAGTCTTACTGCGTAGGCAGAAAATGGGTTACTCTCTTTTCATGTGTACAAAATATGTGTCAAGTGAAATTGTTTTGGACATTTTCTTTATATATTTTAATGATTTTTTTAAATTAAAATGAGATATTTTTTGAGTAAATTTTTAGTTGTATTACTTTGAGTGTTAAAATAACAATTTTGGTTGAATATGTGAAGCTTCTAACCAAACAGAAGTTTGTATTTCTGTCTTAGCACACTATTTTTGTCCCTGTTTTAACCTGTCCTAGCTATAGAAAAGCAGAGGTGACCACACACATTACTCATTATTATTATTATTATTATTACTACGAGTTTATATAGCGCCAAAGGGTTTGCTCAGCGCTGTACAATAGGGGGGGACAATACATGGCACAGTACAACAAAGACAGACAGCGTACGAGGGGTAAGAGGGCCCTACTCTTACGAGCTTACAATCTAGGAGTACTCATCTGATTATGCCAAGTCCGTGCTGTCACTTGTAGATCTGTCAACTTTGTAGCCTGATGGGCTCTTTACTCAGTTTGCAGCCAGAAATGGGGGCTGTTGAGTTACTACATAGCTGTTGGTAAAAGAGAAAAAAAAAAACGAACCCCCACCCCAAAAAAAAAAAACAAAAAAAAAACAGGCAGACCTAATAGACCACTCTGTCTTTTTCTGCCGTCACTTTTCTATGTTTCTATGAGATTTTGCAATCAGGTTGTGACATGACCACCTAGGACGAAACCAGGGGCGGACTGACAACTCATGGGGCCCCCGGGCAATAGGGGATCATGGGGCCCCTGTGTCCTTGCCCAAACTCAAAAAAGCCTATGAAAAAGGTACCAGGGGCATCTCATGGGGCCCCCTACTGACCCTGGGCCCTCGGGCAGTGCCCGAGTTTCCAAATGGCCAGTCCGCCCCTGGACAAAACACATACTGCTCATTACCCAGACATGGCTTACCCTAGGTTAACGCCTAAGGCTGGCCATACACTATACAATTTGCTGTCCAATTTCTGCCCAATTTACTTTAGATTTACCTTCAACTATGTGGTGCAAGAGCCTGCCTAATTGGATACAACTGAAAGTGTTGTTAGGTTTGACCTCCTATTATATGGTTTTTGGTAAATCTAAACCAAATATCTCAAGAAAATTGTATAATGTATGGCCAGCCTTAGGCTGGCCATACACTATACAATTTTCTGTCCAATTTCTGCCCAATTTCCTTTAGATTTACCTTCAACTATGTAGCACAAGAGCCTGCCTAATTGGATACAATTGAAAGTGTTGTTATGTTTGACCTCCTATTACCGTATATGGTTTTTGGTAAATCTAAACCAAAAATCTCAAGAAAATTGTATAATGTATGGCCAGCCTTAGGCTGGGTTCACATCTATGCAGGTTGCATTTGAGCCATTTCTGCATTTTTGCACTTGCGTTTTTGCTGCGGTTTTGATGCATTTTTCTTTTTTTTTTTGTTGCTAGGCAGATTTAAAACGCATCAAAAACGTGGCAAAAAAGCAATATGCTTTTCTGCTGCGTTTCCATTGAAGTCTATAGAATCAAAAATGCAACTTTGTGCGTTCAGGTAAGTCCCTGACCCTTTGCAAAAAACGCAGAGATGTGAACCTGTCCCATAGGAAATCATGTTAAATGGACTGTACTGCGTTTCTGCAAAACGCTGCAGAAAACACATAGGTGTGAATCTAGGGTAAGCGTTTTCCAGAAACGCACTACAGTCCATTTAAGATTTTCTATGGGACACATTCACATCTCCGCGTTTTCACCCGGTGCATTTTTTTGGAAAGGGTCAAGGACTTTCTTAAACGCAAAAAGTTGCGTTTTTGGTTCATAGACTTCAATGGAAACGCTGCAGAAAAGCATTTAGTGCATTTTTGACACGGTTTTTATGCATTTGTGATTTTTTTTAGTGCGTTTTGCGGTTTAATCTGCCTAGCAACAAGGAAACCACAAATGCGAAGAAAATGCAAAACGCACTGCAGAAACGGATCAAGCGTAAACTGCATAGGTGCACCTAGCCTTACATGAGTTCTAGTATGATCCGTGTCTTTAGAAAGGCGTTGGGAATTTTTCTTGAAAGGCTGGGCAAAGTGCAATGGCTACAGGCAGGGTGCAGTAATCCATATCAACTAGGAAGAAAAACAACGACTATAGTAAACGGAAATCTGCTTGGTTAGAATATGACACTGCATAAAATTAGTTCAGTCTACAGCAGTGGTTCTCAACCTGTGGGTCGCGACCCCTTTGGGGGTCGAATGACCCTTTCACAGGGGTCACCTAACACCATCGGAAAACACATATTTCCGATGTGTAGAAAGCAGCTGCTGTGTTGAAAGCAGCTACTGTGTTGAAAGCAGCTACTGTGTTGGAAGCAGCAGTATTGGAGGTAAAACGACACTCATGAATTATAATTACTGGGTAAATAATTTTATGGTTGGGGGTCACCACAACATGAGGAACTATATTAAAGGGTCGCTGCATTAGGAAGGTTGAGAACCACTGGTTTACAGGATTATAGAATTAGCAGATCACTCATTATTTAACATTTAAAAATTTGCCATCATTGCAATTTAATAACAATATTACTATTTGTCTATTAAAGTGATAGATTCCCTTAACCACTTCCAGTCTGGACACTTTTACCCCCTTCCTGCCCAGGCCAATTTTCAGCTTTCAGCGCTCTCACACTTTGAATGACAATTGCGCGGTCATGCAACACTGTACCCATATGAATTTTTTAGCATTTTTTTGAGACAGATAAAGCTTTATTTTGCTGGTATTTATTCACCACTGGGATTTTTATTTTTTTTGCTATGTAAATTAAAAAGTCCAAAAATTTTAAAAAAAAAAGGTGTTTTTTCTCATAAAATTTTGCATATAAATAGTATTTCATCATAAATCTTGGCCAAAATTTATTCCGTTATATTTTTAGTAAAAAAAAAAATAATAACCCAAATTAGTTTATAACCAAAATGATAATTTTTAAACATTTTTTTAATTTTTTTTATATTATTTTTTATTTATTTATTTTTACATACTGTCACCCTTGTGGGGGGTGATGAAGATTTTTTTTTTTTTTTTTACACTGATTGCTTTTACACCCATAAAGGATGTAAAAGCAATCATTTCTCCTTCTCTCTAGCTGTATTCTTGCAGCCATTGAGAACTACTGAGTGAGCTGTGATTGGTCACAGCTTGTCACATGGTACAAGGCTGTTGTGAATAGCCTTGTACCATGTGACCTCTGTGATCATTCACAGATTTCACACGTAGTAAGCAATGATGTCACAAGTGATATCTCGCTTACTACTTTGCATGTGATCACTGATTGGCCAATCAGCGACCACATGATCGGGACCTCGTACATAGGTCCTGTCCGACGATCGGTGTTCCTGGATCGCGGTGCTGCGCGCTCCCGGGGAGCGCGCACAAGCAGGGTGCGGGAAGGCCATTTATAAACAGCCACCCGACCCTGCACTGCCACCGTCTGGCCGTTTATATACAACAGCCGGACGGGAGGTGGTTAACAGAAGATTATAGAGATGGGTTGGGATTCAAGAGGACCTGTCATAGTGTCCATTGTTTTTAAAGGATAAGTTCACTTTGGAGAACATGCTACATTAGGGTTGCCACCTCATCCCTTTAAAACTGAACACATATTTATTACACAGGTTCTGGGGCTGATTTAATACAGGTAAAGTACTATGTGAGTTTAATTACCACCTTAATCAGCCACAGAACCTGTGTAATGAATATCTGTTTGGTTTGAAAGGGATGATATGGCAATCCTATGTTACATGTTCCACCCGTTTTTAGGGTGGAACATGTAACATGTTTCCACTCCCGCAGCTGCTGCCTGCTCCACTGCATCTAGTGACAGGGCTTCTCCCCGGCTAACTGTCACTGTCACAAGAAAACACGGTCATGTGGGGCTTTTTATTAAAAAGGTGAACTTATCCTTTAATTGAGCTGTTAGTGATGCTTAGAAAATTAGTTCTTTATCTGCATTGTTTGTATTGACCATTTCAATACCGGGCACTTTTACCCCCTTCCTGTCCAGGCCGTGTGAGGAAAGGACTTCCGATAACCAGCAGATCTGTTTACATGTGATGAGCTGTGATTGGACACAGCTAATCACATGGTAAAGGGCAGCTGTAATTTTCCCTTTCCAGCGATCTGTGATCAGCTGAGACACAGCAGTCACTGAGCATGCCCGTTGTGCTCTCCAGGAGTGTGCAGGGTTCTGGGAGGACACCCACGGACGCATCCCAGAACTGGAGGACTGCTCTGTAGCCCTCTTTCAGCTATAGCACAGTCGGGCAGTGGTGAAGGTAGAAATCCAGCCAAAATGTTGTATTCTTTTACTTTGGATAGAGTGGTTAAACATTAGAACTTAGATGTGAAGAGAAAACACATTATATGAATGATGTCATCTACTACCTGTGCAATAAGTCCATCCATGACATTTCCTGGCTACAAAATATTCCACGGTCAACTGTTAGTGGTATTATAACAAAGTGGAAGCAACTGGGAACAACAGCAACTCAGCTACCAAGTGGTAGGCCACGTAACATGACAGAGCGGGGTCAGTGCATGCAGAAGTCGCCAACTGTCTGAAGAGTCAAGAGCTGAAGATCTCCAAACTTCATGTGACCATCAGATTAGCACAACAACATTGTGTAGAGA